CATTCATAATCCATTCATCCATCCATCCACCCACCCACCATCCATCCATCTAACCATTATCCAACCATCCAATCATCAGCCATCCAGCCATCCAGCCATCATCCATCCATCATCTATCTATCTATAATCCATCCATCATCATCATCCATCCATCAACAATCCATCCATCGTGTGCAGCTTAATCACCTCTAATCAACAGCTTTTTTATAGATAATAATTTAATATAATGGCATTAATCATACCAAATGATGAATAAATATTTTGAGAAAGCTGAGAACACAAAACTTGTTTCCACCAGATTTTAAGATAAGATATTAAGATATCCTGATGCATGCTCAATAATCCAGGTAGAAAAATCTAAAAAAGTTAAATCTGGTCCTCTGGACATTCAAAAAAAACAAACAAAAAAATGTAGATACGTTTCGTGTCTCATCTGAAAGACTTCTTCAGTCTGAGGTGCTGTATTCAGCTCAGTCTCTTAAACAGCATCTTCTCAGAGTGGATCAACCAGTTTCGCTGCTGACAACCAAAACCAGCTGATCACATGCTCAAGAAGGACCATCAGCCTAACAATGGATCATTAGAACACTGATGGCTGTTTACTATTCACAGAGGGCTGAGTGATACTAGCAATCACAGCATTGTAAGAGGGGGACAGTTGAACCCGGAGGCCTCCACCCCTGTTTAATGATGGACGATTTCTTTTCACAAAGATGGCCTCCTTTACTCCTCTCTCAAACCATCGTTCCTCTCTATCCAGGATGTGAACATCTTCATCCCTGAAAGAGTGACCGCTGGCCTGGAGATGAGTGTAGACCGCAGAGTCCTGGCCTGATGATGTTGATCTTCTGTGCTGGGCCATCCTTTTGGCCAGTGGCTGTTTAGTTTCCCCGATGTAAGACTGATGGAGGAAGTCTTTCAGATGAAAGACGAAACGTATCTAGATTTATTTGCTTTGTTTTGTTTTTTTTGAATGTCCAGAGGACCAGATTGAACTTTTTTAGAAGATATTAAGATATTTTGACATATCTGTATAAAGTTTGCAATGCAGTTTGATTAAAGTGAATGTGTTCTACCTGTAATGTGTACTGTTGCAGGTTGAAAGGCTTTCTGAATGGAACATCCTGGATGTACTGAGGCAGACAGCTGCCTCCGTAGTATCTGTTATCGAGCACCACGCCTTCTAGGTCACTGGTCAACACGTTTATTCTGAAAAAAGAGCAGCAGAAGTGCAGAGACATGGTCTCAACAGGTCTCTCTTGAAAATGAGTCCTCGTAACTCACTGAGACTACCTGTGCACTTCGTACAGCAGAGGGCCTGTGACTCACCCTTTGGCAAGGTTCTCGATTCCCCAGTACTCCTCAGCCTCCACCCTGCAGGGTTTGGAAGTCTTCTGACAGCCAGCTTCATCGGACATGTCCCCACAGTCGTCCTCCCCGTTACACCGCAGAGTTCTGTGAACGCAGCGACCTGAGACAAACCAAACACTCCCATGCTTTAACTGTGTTTTTATTATGACACATTGATCTGTGGTTATTTGATATGGTCTAATTTGAATCCAGTCACCATCTTTGAGTTCCTGATGGTAGTAAAAATGAAGGACTAGTTCTGCTTGCAAGAAGTAATATCATCCACTGCTTTAAACTGAGGTCACTAAAACGAGGAATGACACAGTTCTAGTTGTTTTGGTCAAATCCTGAAGATGTTGGACGACCTGTTCAGGCTCAGAGTACGTGTTGTGAAAGACTCTCAGCTACTACCACAGTAGGCTGTAACTCAGTATCTATGAAGTTCAGCTTTTTTGTCTTTCCTAATACTGGTTTGGATTTAGAGTTCACTTTAAAAATTAGTAATTTGTAAAATGTTTATCCAGTTATTACTTTCTGAGAGTTTTGTGAGATATTTTGCTAACATTACAGACACATACGTGCAAACAGAGAGAGACAAAACGCCTGATTTGTCTTCTTCTCCCCTTCAGGGGATAGGAGATAAAACTGTAAAACTGGTTGTTACCTCTTCTTAAAAACAGCTTTGGATAAATAAATAAAAAAGTCAACCCTTAACAAACGTATAAAATGTTATTGAAACAGTGTTCAGATGTTTCTGTATGTCCTGAAAATATGGTGGAAGTGACAATAACATCTTTGGAACTTTGTTAATTGAATGAAATATGAACTACAATTTATAAAAACAACAACAACGCTACATCCACCCTGACTGCACTCACACACATTAACCACTGATCCCCAGGATAATCAGGAGTTGATTTAAAGCAGAGGGTGAAGGTGAATTTGGTTAAATTAGTTGTTCTTTACAACAACTGTGGAAACAAAAAGGTTAAATCAGGTCCTCTGGACAGTTTCTTTAAGGGAGAAATGTTTGATCGTTCATCCGAAAGACTTGATCAGTTTGCGACCTGTCCACAAGGTCTGTTTTGTAAATAGCCTTCATTGATGTGTTTCAAGCCAACCTCCTGTTGAATTCCCATAAACTGACTTTACACATGGAAAAAGGACCCATCCACCCAAAAGAATCAGTCATCATGTTCAACAATCAAATGTTTTAGGCATAATGGCCAACTTGCTACTCAGAAACAGCCTGAGGACACCAAGGCCCATGTGGTTCAGAAAAAGGTTTGTAAGCGCAATCATCCAGGTAGAGAACAACAAAAAAGGGTTAAACAGTTTCATCTGAACCAGTTTCTTTAAGGGAGAAATGTTTTATCTTTCATCTGAAAGACTTCATCAGTCTTAGCTGAGCAAACTGAGCTTACAAACCATTTTATTGAATCATTTTAGCCAGGTGCCCAAAACTGTGTCAGCAAAGGTCAAAAGAAAAGTTTACAAGACAGCGGTGAAACCAGCTCTGTATGGTCTGGAGACAGAGACATGGACAAAAAGACAGGAGACAGACCTGGAAGTGGCAGAAATGAAGATGATGAGGTTCTCCTTAGGAGTGACAAGAATGAATAAGATCAGGAATGAGATCATCAGAGGTACAGCACAGGTGGAACAACTGGGAGATAAAGTTAGAGAGACCAGACTGGGATGGTCTGGACATGTATATGGATGCAGTTAGAGACGACATGGAGGTAGCTGGAGTGAGGACAGATGATGCGGAGGACAGAGTGAGATGGAGGATGATGACTCTCTGTGGAGACCCCTGATGATGGAAAAGCTGAAAGAAAAGGAAGAAGAAGAAGAAGTCAGGCTGTTTCTTTGAGTAGAAAGTCGGCCATCTGGCCTAAAGCTTTAGAAAGTTGTACATGATGATTGATTGTTTTGAACGGACGGTCCCTTTCTTGCACATGTAAAGCTATCCATCCATTATCTTTTACTAGCTTCTTCCTTTTCAGGTTGCAGGGGTCACTGGTGCTCATGTCCAACCATCACTGTGCAAAAGGTGGGGGACATCCTGGACAGGTCTTCAGTCCACCACAGGGACATAGAGATAAATGAGACAAACTACCATTCACTCTCTCACTCTCACCTAGAGACAATTTAGAGTTGCCAATCAGTTTAACATGCGTGTTTTTGGTCTGTGGGAGGAAACTGGAGTACCCAGAGAAAACCCACACATGTACGGAGAGGATATAAAAAAATAAATAAATAAATAAAGTGCTATGTGCTGTCATCATTGTATGTTCCCACACAAAAACAAAATTAGTTCTCTGAATTTAACCCATTGCACCTGAGATGCACCCAGGTGGAGCAGTGGGCAGCTATGTAAGCGACAGGGAGCAATTTGAGATTAGGTGTCCTGCTCAGAGACACCACGTTGTGTGCAATGAACGGGTATCGAACCCAGGACTCTCGGGTCCCGAGTCGGCCACCCTGCCCTTACACCATTTCAGCTCATTTTATGCAAACTCCACCCAGAAAGGCCTCTGGACCTGTATTTGAACCAGGGTGACCTGCTCACTGAGAGGCAGCAGCGCTACCACTGTGCCACTGTGCTGCCTATGTGTAAAGCTAGTTTCTGGAAATTCAACAAGAAGTTGGCTTGAAACACCTACAAGACAGACCTTGTGGGCAGGTTGCAAACTGATGAAGTCTTTCGGATGAAAGACGCAACGTTTCTCCCTTAAAGAAACTGTCCAGATGACATGATTTAACTTTTTTGTTTTTATTTTGTGTTTATGTTTAAAAAAATGTATGCCTCTTTTATGATTGTCTATTGTTGTCGTTGTTGTCCACTGTTGTCATCACTCTTTGTTAAAGAAATCAGGTCTCTCTTGTAAATGAGACCCCGAGGCTCAGTGGGATTAGCCTGTCTAAATAAAGGTTGGATGAATGATCTACCTGGATGACCGAGCTTACAAACAACTGTGCACAGGAATGAACATGTTGGTAGGTCAAACAAAGATGGCTCATCATTACTAATGTTTCCTGTAAAATCACTAATGATGCAGACACAGAGTGTGACTCTCAGCTACTACCACAACAAACTGCAGCTCAGCATCTGTTAAACTAAGCTGTAGCTTTTTGTGTTTGCTAAAACTGATTAGCTGAGGCGGCCATCTTGACTATAGTTGATTAAAAATGCCACTTTCCTGGTCACAGACAGTAATATTTAAAGTTCAGTGATGCTCTGCAGAAAGGGGAGGAGTTACCTGTCTGTGTGCAGAGGAAGCCCTCACATAAAGGTATGCTGTCACAGGTGTAGCGGGTCGGAACCTCACAGGCCTCCTCCTGCCTGCCATGGAAGCTGCACGGCTCCCCTCCAAACTGAGACGGCTGCTCCAGCTTAGCATAGCGGTACTGAAGGTGGAGGGACAGAAACACATGAAGGATAAAGATCCTCCAGCTGTTTTCACATCATCATGGGTTTATTAATCCCCTCTCCTGTAAAGTGGGGGGGCATGGAGGACCTCAGCCAGCTGGGGAGGTCTTTCAGATAAAAACAGCCCTTCAGTGTTTCAAGAGATTAAATGATGAGTCGAGAAGGATTAAGACTTTATCTGCCTCTTATCTCACTCCATCTACATGGAAAACACTGAACTGAGCACAGGTCTCAGTGCTCAATCACAACTTTGTTTTGTTTGTTTTTTTGTTTGTTTGTTGACATTATCCTATATATATTATAGAGGTCCAATGTGTGGACGACAGAGGAGAAAATCCTCATTATTTCTGGACCGTAAAGCTGCGGGACAGCAGCATTTCTGCGTCCGGTTCTGTAGTTCTGTCCTTCCTGTCAAAAACTTGTATTTGGACCTTCACATCCAAATATTTGATCCGGTTCTGGTGATCTGGTTCTGGTTGTTCTGTTAGTGGATTTAGTCAGATGTCCTTTTCCCCCTCCAGGTGTGGACATGTTTCGTTGTCCAGGTGGACGTTGAGGACGACCTGCGGTGCCCAAAACTATTACGAGAATTATTTGGTTTTAATAAAGTTAATCAGGATTCAGGTCAGCTGCTCACTTTTTGTCTTCAGTTGATGTTTGAAAGTTTTTTAAATAACTTTTTGTAAAAAGACCAAAGATGAAAACACAAACGTGACTTGGAAACAGAGGCGGGTTCTAAAACGATTCATCTTTCATCGTATGATGTATTGATCGAATTTCAGGTCTCTCTTGTAAATGAGTCCCCGAGGCTCAATGGGACAAACCTGTATAAATAAAGGTTGAATGAATCCTGTGACCCGGAAAGGAAGAAGCAGCTCAGTATATTCTTTTCTCTAAAATTGTCAAATATAAATCTTTAATTTGCATTCTCAGATTTAAAGCCACTCCCTCAGAAATTACAAATAAAGAAACTTTGACTTTTTGTCTTTAACTATGTCCAAAACATTTTTATTTTCTGGTTGCTGTATGTACTTTGGTGAACAGAAATATATTATTAAGAATTATTATTAGAAGTATTATTCATAAAACCTCCTGAGAGCGTGCATGCTCATGATGAGGACCGTGGATTTAGACCAGTGATCCTCGTTCAGGTCAATAGATTTTAGATTTTATTTTTTAACTTAAATAGCATATATATATATAT